GCCACGCAGTGTAAGCACAACTCCTGCCAGTTTACAAAAAGGACAGCGCTTAATTGAAGTTGATCGTGTATCCCTCTCTCACTTTGTGCCAGGCATCCAGGGCGTTGGGGCTCTTCTCTCGGAGGAGAGCCATCACGCTGACGGCCTCGGCTTCTGACAGAGCCAGGCTGGACAGACCAGAGAGCAGCTCCCTAAGCTTCACCTCTGTGTTTTCTGATGAGACAGTCGGTTCGATTTTAACAGTCAGATCATAGCGCGAATGAAGAAGAAAAAAAAAAACTAAACAACAACCTCTATCTCACCTTTATCGGCCTCATTCTTCAGTTTTTTGCCAGGCCCTCTGGATTGCACATCATCATTATGAGCTGCCTGGTGGTTGGAAGAAGCTGCCGAATCTGCCATAATGTGGGTTTCATCCACTAAATTTTAGAGAGAAAAAAATAAATCTGAAATACAAACTGTATAATAGAAAACGCTAAATATTTGGCTAATTAAAGTACAAATTGATTTTCTGATCGACTGGCAGAGAAGTGGACCAACAAAAGCACAGATGTTGTTGTTTGAATAATTGCTCTGGACCTTCATTTGTGGATAATAGCTTAAAGAAAATAAAAATAGATAAAAGAAGAAGAAGAATGAAAACAGCCAAAGACAACTGATCATTACCATGCTCAGTCTTCTGCTTCTTGGCGGAGTTCTTCTTTTTTCCACTGGTGGCAGTCGGGGCTGCACCATCCAGGACTTTGGTTTCAGCCACAGCGGGAGCTTCCTTTTTGACCGGTGCTGGGGCCTGCTCTGCTTTCACCTCTGGCTGCTGCACGTCCACTAAGAAAAAAGCATAAAGATATCAGACATATCTCCTGGGATACATTTCTAAAAATGAGGAAGAATCCTCACACATTTTTCATCAAACTAATTAGGCTTTTTGACATAAGCAGCCTTTCTTCCATACCAGGCTCCACTTTCTGTTTCTTCTTCTCTCTTTTCTTCCCAGAGACCTGAGGGGGCGTCTGTGCTTGAGCAGGAGCCTGAGCAGCTTGAACCTGGACCTCCGGTTTTGGAGAAGGTGGGAGTGTTTGTTTGCTTGCAGCCGGTGGGGTCTCTGTCTTGCGGCTCGCTGGCTTGGAGTCGTTTCCTTCCGATTCTTCGGAGAGAGAAGCTGCAGCAGCTGCAGCAGCTGCTGCTGCGGCGGCAGCGGCTGCTGCTTTGGCGGCTTTTTTCTCCTTCTTCTTTCTCTCCCGCAGACCAGCCGGAGCCTCTGGAGACGCTGAGAGGGGCACATAGGCGGCAGGTGCTGGTGGAGCAGGATCTGGCATCACCACTGGTGAGGGTTCCTCCTCTGGCTCCAGACTGGAGCTGTTGGCCCCGTCGGTCGCGTCGAAGTCCCGCAGATCTTCTTCCGATTCTCCTCCCCCACCTCCGCCGCTTCCTCCACTGACAGTCTCCTTCTTCTTGCTCTTCTTCTTTTCATTCTTCTTGCGCGGGTCTGGCCTGGTTGGTGGCAGCTTAAGGTCCCGTTTCTGCCTGGCAAGCACCTCGTCGTAAGATGTTTCTTTCATGAAGAGCCAGAAGAAGAGGAACATGAGGGCGATGACCAGGGAGGGGGCCAGGATTAGAAGGTACTGAGAGTCGTAGATATCCACCGCCATTCTAAAGAAAGGAAGAAATGGAATAATTAGTCTGTGCAACTCACATTGCAATATGCACTTGCTAATGATTTAAAACACACTTTACAACTGATAATTTAACAATATTTCTCACGTCCAGACCTCTGCTTCTGCATCAACCTACATTTTCAACAAATAAATGAAATCAGGTTGCAGCACAGTTCCATCCACAAAATCTGAATGAATATTAATTTGCAGGACAGCCACTGTTTCATTAGATACATGGAAGGGGGGGTTAGTACATAGATAGCACTGAGATTTAGCAAGTGAGAACATACCCTATCCCCTCTCAGTGATATGATCCAATTAGACACCGCTACCACTGCTGGACGGCTTAACAACGTCTTTACGTTTACAAATGTTTGCAGACAAATAGGGACCAGAAACGTGGAGCGTAGGAGCCAGATAGGACAAATAAGGTTATCAACCAAGATTAAAAGACTCCGCTTCACTCAGGCTGGCTTAAACGGGGGCAATATAGGTCAATAGCATCAGAAAGGCAACAAGGCTAAAAGGAAAATAGCTCACAGTCTCATTTGCTCACTTCCCTCGGTCAGGCCGCACAACGAGGACGTGATGCTGTTCTCAACTCACATCAGGATGGATTTGCGAGAGGCAAAAATACACCCACATGCAAGTGTGACAAGCTAAGGTCTGCTGCAGCTGCAGTTTGGCCTCTTCCTGCTTAAAGCCACAGCAGGAAAGCTTCTTCTACCGCAGAGTCAGGAGGTCCCCAGACCTCATCGATTTAGCACCTGCCCATCACATTTTAAGGATCAGCATACTCTCAGTGAACTGGGATAACCTGATTGCAGCCTATTGTAAACTTTCCAAAATATTGTATTTTTACAAACTTATATTTTTGATATATAATATAATTAACAAGATATTTTTTGGGTCACAATAAACAGGAAACAGGCATTTTGGAGGCGACACTGTCAAATGGTTCCAAGCACTCTCTCTCAGTGTATCTGGAAAACTGTGACAGGACTCCATGGACGATATTATACACTTGTTCAAAGAGATAAAACTAGGCTTTTCATAATGGGGACAAGTTGAAGCCCAGAGTGATGACAGCAGCACTGCGCGGTCAACAATGCAGAACGGCTGACAGTGAGTGACAATCCCATCCCACTGCCAAGAACTGTGGCAGCCCAGCAGCGTAGGAGTCAGTGTCGTAGAGCAGGCCTCTTTAGTAATTAAGCAGATTACCCATGATAATACATTTAAGAATAACTTTCCACTGCAGGGCTTCCTGAGCACTGAAAGGCTTAGTCCTATCGAGTTATTCTGTTTCACTCCACCCTAAAAATAAAAATAGAAAAATAAAAAATCACCACATCTTCCAAAGCACACACAAAATAAAGACGCCAGATCTGAAAGGCACAGATACTGAAAAAAGAACAGAAAATTACCATGGAAGACTTATGCTCAAACCCATCAGAATGTGTGTCGATTGAAGGCTTCTGCCTACGCATTTAACCTTTCCACTTCAGCAACTTGGAGACATTTGTGTGTCCCCTAACAATGAGCATGCATTCCTTCACACTCACATAGAAATGAAGTTTAAAAAAAAAACTATAAATACACGTCAGGAGCAGAAAAACATATCTCTGTCTGCAAACTTAGATTAATTTATATTCATTATCAGTAAGCCTGTTGAAGTTTTCATACCTGTGACCTCACTCAAGGATTATTTAGAATTGAATGGCACATATCAAAACAGGTATGCTACATGTAAGCTAATAACCAAGTTAAAGAAACGGAAACTCTAACACACCAGATAATAAAGTTGCTATTTGAAAAATAACTTGAAAGTAAAAAACCGAAGGGTATATCAAGCTGTACTGACGTGGTCTTGGTTTAAAAACAGCCACTACCTGTAGTGGCTTGTGGGAGAAGCTTAATCTGCAAAATAACTCCTGAAGCAACTTTGTTTCTTGGCATATGGAGCATGGGTGGAGCAAGTGCTGTTAAAGTTTGAGGCTCTTTTTTATGCTTTCACTCCAAGGCCTCATTGTGGAAGGTGCCTAGAGTTTCTTATGCAGCCTGAGCCTTGTTCCAGCATCAAAATGAGCCTGGAGGACAAAGCCCTCTCGGGCTGTTGGCTCCCCGGAATCTACCCACTTGGCTGGCCGAGCCTCCTGATTTGGCAAACATGGACAGAGGGAACTCCTAAAAACTATCAGACCTCAAAAGCAGCACAGTCAGTACTTGAAAACAAGGCCATACAATAATCTACATTCTGTATCTGAACAGCACATAGCTTGTGGATTTCCTCCAAGTAGTAACTAAGACACATTTCTTTTTCTTTTTTTTTTTCATTTAGATTATTGTATTAAATGCTGCAGTTTTCCACCAACAGACAAAAATATATACAGGATATTTCGATCCACAACGGATCTAGTTTGGACAATCTCATGGGGAAATGGAGAGATGGCCCTCCTTGAAGTTGTAGAGGTAATAAACTGATATGACAGGCTTATTGGTTCAACAAAACTGGAAATCATTAAACAGGAACTAGAAGTGTCTGGTCTGACTGGCCAGATTGTAATAAAGCATAATTACATAAAGCATTTTCCATAAAGAGTCAATGAACTCCTCATTTAGATATGAACTATCTAACAGTTTCTGAACAACTAGGACAGAGGTGCAAAAGTTATAGGACTAGAGTGTCAGTAAGAGGCAAAACGAAACTTATGCCTTTCTTTTCTTTTTTTCTTAATACTCCAAAACTTTCTCAAACTGAGACCAATAAGTCCCTGGAAGTGGAAGGATTTCCGATGCCATTAAGAGCCTGAGTTCAAAGGTCACCTGGCATTAAACTCAGCTCCGCTGAATAAACTGGACGCTCTTAAAGGTCAGCGGGACAGTATATATAGTCACCACCTCAGTTCAGAAGTGACGTGTTTTCACACAAGCGTCGCCCGTCGCGCGCACCAGAAATAAGTCAGAGCAACTCAACTTGTCTCGAGACAGAGGGGTATCCCTTACGCCACCTCAGCACTCCATGTCCCAGCATGACCAAGCAAGCTGGGACATCGAGTGCTGGCCACGCCGGCCTAGTGTAAATTACCACATCATGGCAGCTGATCTCTACACCGAGTAAAAATGCTGTAAGATCGTACTAAATAGAAAAGCAAAAGTGGTCCCAATGTCACTTATTAATCACATTAGCCGTGAAAGCGGAGAAAAACGCACGCATGTCGACACGTTCACTTCCCCTAAATGGCTAGCATACAGTCTTTGGAGGCACACCGGTGGTTTGGGCATGTCTGCGAGTAGTTGCTGTTTAAATGGATTCGGGAAAGGATTCGGCAACACTTCTAAGGTTCGCTTTGGTGTCTACACCTCAGCGCTATGAATGAGCTAGCTGGCACGAGCGCTAACTAGCAAACTAACGTGAGGATGTCACTAACATTAGCCGGCCAAGCCAAGTCGTAGAGCAAGAAGTATTCAGTAACTAAGCGAAGACGGCCCACACAGTTGTTCGCAGAGACATTTCGGTGCTCTTCCACCCGCATTCGGTGTCTCCGGAGCCGTGGACATCTGCCCTCAAGGCCCCCGTTAGCTAATGCTAAAGTGCCAGCCTCCTTCTCTCTTGAAATCTCTGACCGGTCTCCGGCTCCGCTCCTCCGCTGCGGGCCGTCGCCAGGCCTGCGAGAAAAGCTAAGCTACGCTAGGACCAGGGTGAGGGTCTTTTCGGCGAGAAAGAGGCGTAGCGTTTGTGGACAACTCTGTCAACGAAATACCTGTAGCTTTAGTGGACAGTTTCCCTCGCCACCGGTGAAATGGCGTTAATCTGCGTTGACTCCGCTGGACTCCCGACTTCCCAGGGCAGCTCCTGCCTGGCTTTCTCTTGCGCTATCCGTCACACTATCTGCTGTTTCTGGTTTGCGGGGGCGGGTCATAGTCAGCCTGCCAGGGGACGCTCGTTTTGTGTCTCGTGGCATACCGGTTATGACATAAGAGCACGGCTCAACATTTTCCAAACGATCAATTGGGTGAATTTTAAAGTAAATTGGATTAAAGATAACACGCAGAGTCATTGTTTCGCTACCGGAAAGAAAAATAATTAAAAAAATGACATGTTTCTGTGGCAACTTTGCTGAAGCTGAAATGCTACATTTTCAGTTATATTCACATATTTTTATTTCTAAAAGTATATGTATAATCAATTTGCTCCAAGAATAAAATGTATTTTGCCTCACAAGAGACATTGCAGAACTAAAGTGAACAATATGTTGATAAACACGTAACAGCCAAATACAGTTTCCACTAGCATTTAAATGAACACTGACAACAAGTTTGATGACAGATAAGATCAATATTACCAGTAATTATAAAGAAATGAATTTTCCACTTGAAGTCCTGAATCAGTCACTCCTCCTGAGTGTTGATGGCCTCTGACGGCCCTGCCGCTTGCAGCTCAGCTTCATACTGCTTCTTAAGTCCCTTCAGATACATACGCAGGCTTTCAGCATCCAGCCGCGAGTTTCTGGCAGTCTGCAAGAGGCGAGTGGCCAGGTGGTACACGGCTCTCATTCTCTGAGTGTCTGGGTCAGTTTGATGATTGGCCTACGAGGAAAAGAGAGTTTTGATTTCATCCAACATGGATACTTTTTCAGGAATTTATATTGCTTTCTTGTGCACTGAGGTTCTCGTGTTGTTTATTGAACATCAAATGCCTCAAAGAGCATCAGCTAAAGTCTATTGTATTTAAAAGGCACAAAGGAGATGTTTTTGGATAAAATATGAAAAATGTCATCTTTAATAGTCACACCAAAAGCTTCTGGCTGACTCCAGATGCAACTCTCTTTGCCTCTTGGATGATACTTGGAGGAAATGCAGTCATTTCTGCCACTTTCAGACCTGAATGAGATAATTAAACCCTCTGTAAACATTTCCATATCAAAATAAACAGGGTTATTGTATTTCCCTGGCTCTGTACCATAGTGCCTTTGCTCGGCGCATCCTCGGCTAAGCAGATATGTGTACTCCACTCGCTCTGCCCCTGAGTCACCACTGCGTGTGTGCTGAACCTCCATGTGCTGGTTCTCCACGTTTGGATAAAGAGACTCCAACTGACACAGCTCAAGAAAGTGTGTGGCGAACAGAGTGAACGCCTGGAAACAGCAGAGAAACAGGATAAAACACAGGATGCCATTCTTGTGGCTGTTCAAGCAATTCACTGTTAACTTAAGAGGTGTATCGTATCCAAGTCAATACAAAAAAGTGTGGATGTGGAGCACAGGAATCTGGATCATCTGGTTTCATATGTTCAGAGAGGGGTGTGACGCAGCTGTGCTGTTGCATACGCTACCTTCAGGCTAAGGAGAAACTCACAGACCGAGTGGCAGAGGCCAATGCCCTCCTCCGCACTGGTGCCACGTCCCAACTCATCGATGATGATCAATGACCTGTGACTCGCGTTATGAATAATGTAGGAGACCTCGGGGGGGGGGAAACACACAGTATCAGAGATTTGTATCCGATACTGTTCTCAAAGAGGTGTGAGCAGCCTCAATGGGATAAAAAGACAAACCTCTTTCATTTCTAACATGAAGGTGGAAGAGTTAGTTTCAAAATCATCGTCTACTCCAATTCTGGTGAAAATCTGGTCGGCAATCCGAAAAGAGGCGTACTCGGCGGGGACAAAGGACCCTGGAAAAATGATTCAAATAGGTTATTAGTTGAAAAATCAAACCCCATTCGTGAACGGCACATATTTACATGAAGTCGGAAGTTTTTCGGACAACCTATCTGGGCCATGATCTGACACAGGGCCACCTGCTTGAGGTAAGTGGATTTGCCGCTCATGTTGGGTCCAGTTATGATGACGAAGTTGCTGCCCTCTGAGATGTAGCTGTTGTTTGATACGGGCTGCTGGAGAGCAATTCGCTCCAGAATGGGATGACGCCCTTGCTTGATGGCCATTGTGTCTGTAAACTCCGGACGCACTGATAAACAGGACAGATAGAGAAAGAATGGAGTTGTTCCATCAGCAGGGGGGTATTGTTGAGTCCAGTTTCTATGCCTTTGACCCATAATCATGGCTTGGCAAAAAAAAAAGAAAAGAAAAGCATAAAACGGCATTCTTCTGTAAAAGCAAAGGCCATTCAAGTGTAACTAGGTGGCAGTCAATACTACATGTGATCATAAACGCAGCAGCCCGTCAGTCAAATAAATGTTTAAACAATCAATAGCTGGTGGGTTGAAAGGTGAGCCACAACACCGTAAAACAACGGTTTCCGTGCGAGGTGTGTGCAGTGGCTCCAGGCAGTTAACCGCTGAAAATCAGTGCACACTTATGTAAGGAGGGTAATCTGAGAACAAGCTGGCTGGGATAAAAGGGGGCAGGCAGCCGGCACACATGTATGCAGAGACAATTTCAGACAGCTGAGGGCCGGCACTCACCACCCACATGGCGGATGGAGCCGTGCCGCACACGCACACACACACAGACACACACACACACACACACACACACAAGCTTAGCCCAGCAAAGATGCGAGCTCAGTAGAGCAGCACATACTGGCTGTGATGTGTGACATTGGTCGTTACTGCTTTATGTGCACAAAGCATCTGGGACCGCAGGTCTGACTCAGAGTTGATTTGGAGGTCTGACCGCACTGACAGCAACCGCGGTCACTCCTACCATAGTCTGAGAGGGTGCACACGTTGGCCAGCGAGAGCAACATGTCCAACATGGAGACAGCGTCGGACAGTTTGTAAAGGCAGTGAACGTGCTCGTGGATGGTGCTAAGGAGTTGACATATCACCCTGGAGAGAGAGAGAAGTTAGAGGAAAACAAAACTTAAAGAAGAAGTAATTCCTTTTGAGCAGCACCCTCTAGTGGACACAATGTAAATCAGTATTGCAAATTAGTTA